TACGTTTATAGGCTGGCCTGGGAAAGGCTTGATGTTTCCCCCGGAGGAGGAGGTGGCGAGAGGGAGGTTTGGGCTTCCCTGCTGCTGTCCCGCTCACCCGACTTCAGAAAAGCAGAAGAAAATGGGCGGATGATTTATTGTTTTTATTATTTTAAATTTTTAGAACTTTTACTTTAGTAGGTGTCATGAATTTTCAAAGAGCAACGTGCCAAACTTTACAGTCACAATTTATTCATTTTCCAGATGTTAACTTGTCGTATTTTAGTTATACATAAACATCTGTTATAGTTACATGTTTTCATATCATATATAACATCGGTTTAGTTTAGGTGTTTTTCTCCTTCACTGTCTGGAGTGTAACGTGTAGTGTTGATAATGCACAATGCGAGGTGCCGCACAGCTTGATTCGCTATTTAAGAATGTCATAAATGATTTAGACGCCTTTCTTATTTGTTTTTGACATTTTCCACCAAACGTTTGTCAATTTAAACTTAATATTTGAGTGTTCCTTAGTTTTAGACTAGTTGGTTAGTCTACATTTTTTCCACAGTTATTCGAGTAAGAAATAAGGAACATCCCTAGAATTTAGTGTTTTGAGGTTTTCTCTTGGACAAAATAACTTAAAAAGCTAAAAAGCCTTTATCATGTAAAAAGCTTGGGTTTACAAACTAGGATTAATGCAATTCAGCTGTGCTGTTTTAGTTAGCTCGGTTAGCAGTGACAGTTTTACTCATGCTGTTGTTGTAGGTTCATGTTGGACCAATGAGGAGCACCAGTACAGGCTGGCTGAAGCTGAAGAGCACCAACCCCCTGGACCACCCAATCATTCAGCCAAACTATCTCACCACAGGTCTGGATGTATTTGATATTTCCTTTAATTTTCCCCCTTAAAAAAAATCTATAAAATCTATTTTTGAACGATGACAGTATTTTGACATGTTTGTAGTTATTGTTGCAGTATTGAAGTCCCTCTGCATCAACTTTTACCTCAGCAGCTTGCAGACTTTTGAGTTACAACAAAGTTGCTCTGGCACGTTCTTATATAAGCTTTTCCTGGTTTTGATTCCCTCTCCTCCTCTAAGATATTGACGTGTGGGAGTTCAGGCAGTGTGTCAAACTCTCCAGAGAGATTTTCGCCCAGAAGGCCTTTGACCCCTTTCGTGGTCCTGAAGCCCTGCCTGGTCCTCAGGTCCAATCCGACGCAGACATTGATGCTTTTGTCCGCCAAAAGGCAGACACTGCCTACCATCCATCCTGCACATGCAAGATGGGCTCGCCCTCTGACCCGATGGCGGTGGTTGACTCAAACGCACGCGTTCTGGGCCTGGAGAAGCTTCGTGTGATCGACGCCTCGATCATGCCCAGCATTGTCAGTGGAAACCTGAATGCTCCAACCATCATGATGGCAGAGAAGACTGCTGATATTATCAGAGGTCGCCCTGCACTCGTTGAATCGGGGGTTCCTGTGTACCAGCCTCCAACACTTGACACACAGAGATAAAGAGAGAGGTGTACAGCTTATCTGTGAGTTAGAAAAATCCCTCAATAGAGTCAGTTATTAGGCAAAAATAGCAGTAAATCACAAGCTGTATGTTCGATTAGGAGCTTATCAATTTAACTCTGAGCTGATATTGTGAATTATTACCATGGGAACATTCCTGGCCTAACACACATATTTAGGACCATAAACACTTCACATCTGTCTCACGCTGCCATTGGGGTGGAACAGTACAGCAAAATCACTGTGGTTATGACAGGAAATGGGTCTAATATGTGGCTTCTCGCTTAGCAAACAATTTACCAGCCTGCCTCATCATGAATTTCAGTAAAAATGCTGTGAAATGTATGTCTTAAACATGAAGTAATTACCCAAGATTACAAACTAGTGTCCAGCATCACATTAAAAAATTGCAAAACAGCTTTAAAAAACTAAAGAAACTTGAATATTTCAAGGATATGAGCTTCTGATGAAAATCTGTTTCCACGGCACTGCTTTTCAGAAAACAGTTGTCTTATCAGCCGTCATCTAATGTGGTTGAGAGCTGCAGTCAGCAGCTGGAGCAAACTGTAGACTGTAGAATAACTGGCCTCAGCAGCTCGCTCCTGTCTGCTCAGACCAGATCAGAGGTTGGCAGACTTTCGCTGTGACAATCCTCTTCCTTCCTGAAGACTTGCAGGTTCAACAGATAAAATCTTTGTTTTGTTTTTTTAGTCCCCCCGCACTCATTTCACATTAACATGAAGGCAATAAAGTGATTCGCTTACACTTTAGGTTTCCCACAATTTAGCCAGTTTTTATAGCAGTTTCTATAGCTACAGCTTTACCATCAACATCTGCAGAAAACATTTGGCTTTGTTACTCTGTTTGCGTGACAACAGAGCATTGAATAGGCAGGATGGAAGAAACAAACTTTTTTTTTTTTTTTGTACATCTAAACAGACTTGTCACTAAACAGACTTGTTTAGTGACAACTGTGGGGAAGGATCATACATTGTTTACCAAAAAGACTTAAGTGAAGTGGTAATATAAACTGGACCAAACCCTGATTCAAGCTTGGAAAAGAAATTATTATAATCAGACTTGTAGCGATTACACTACCAATGCACGCGTCTCTAGATTTAACAGACAGTTAAAGGAACAGACCTCCTAAATGCTGTCAATGCATCTGTAAAACTCACCTCAGTTGATTTGTTTGATTTATGCTATGTGCCAAATTTGCATCCTCGAGCTACATAACTCACAGCTTTTGCACCGCTGTCAGCCTGAAAGCTGTTTAGTATAAACGGTAATTAATGCAAAATGTTTTAACACTATGTTTAAGAACTTTGAAACTAAAAATCTTCAGTGTCACTTTTTATAAGCAGCTTTTTTCTGATTGTGTTGTGAATTTTTTAAAACTATGTTTTTAATGTAACTGTAATATCATTGTTGCCTATGAGATCACGATTACATTTGATTTGTATTAATTCATGTATATGTTGCACATGGCTACAGTGTGTTTGAGTTTGGTCCAGTTTGAACTGACACACACCGGTGCTGAGATTTTAGACTTTGAGCGAATAATCAGTGTGTATTAGCAGCCATAATGAAAGCACTAACATAAATTATAAGTATGTCTTATTAAGCTTTGCACTATATCATAAAGAATTTATGGTTTACATTATAATGCAGTATTGTCTAACATGATGTGAATGTTTAAATCATCTGTCATTATGAAGGGAAACTTACTGTGAACACCGTCAAAGGCTTTCTGTTGTTTTTCTGTGCTGACACTAAACAAAGCCTCCTGACCTTGTTCTTGTGTCTTTATTCAGTGTTCGTTACATAAAATCAGCAGGTTCATTGTCATTCCAGGCAAAACTTCAAGTATGCAAAAAAGGGCTTCTCTTTTTATTGGTACAAAACTTATAAGGTACTAGTACTCATGCTACAAAGTAGAGATAGAGCTATTCTTGTTTGCTTTTTTAAAATTTTCATACAACTGGATAGAAAGCAGAGATCTTCAAGTTAATCGCGTACTTTTTACAAATGCTGTACAGATTTTATACATCATTGTCACTTTATAGACATCTGTAAAGCAGTGGAAGAGTACAAAAAAGTAAAGCTGCGTTGCACAACAAAGCTTTGCAGTCCTTGTCATTTTATCTCATGTGATAAATCATTTGGGTAGTTGCACTAGCAATAATCTCCACGTGACTGTTGTTTCAAGTTTCTCGCATGTGAGCCGCAGGGTAAATCTGAACTGTCTGGAGTCGTGCACTTTTGACAGATTATATTACTAAGCAGGTGGCTTCCGGTCAAGAAGCTGTCGTAAGTGATTCAAAGCATAGCTGAATGCCTTGGGGAGTGGAGTTGGGTGGTTTTCAATAAAAAACAAAAGTCTCACATAGAAGCCAGCATGTTTACCTCAGACTTTTTATGGCTTCTTGGAAATCAAACCAGTGTTGGATCTGGTACTTCTCTTTAATCGTTGTAATGTTGGGTACAAACACTGTTTTTTACTAAAGATTTGGTGGTTCATCATTCATTACTATGGACTTTTGGACAACCAATCATGATCGCTGCCAATAAAGAAAAAAAAATCACACATAAATGTTTCCGATTACTACTTTTGTGCAAATGCAGCGTTACCAGAGTTTCCCTGACATGTTAACCAACAGGCCCGGAGAGTTACAGAGGTAATAAGACTTTTTTCAAAGTCTACATTAAAAACAATTTACTTGCAGTTAAAAAAATGCATATGTCTCATTTATCAGCTGTATTGGCCACTTAAACCTGTATGAGGCTCTTCTAGAGTGAAGAGGAAAGAGTGCATTTGCAGTCCATCTGAACGATAGTCCAGATAGCAGCTTGTATCCTGCTTATACATCTGTACATCTGTATATCTACATCATCAGAATGTCCAATAGCAAACACCGGCACCGGATTTAGACCCTTTAGTCAACTTTTAGTCACAATAGATAAATAAATAAACCTCAGTAATTTTGGTAACAAAAAACATTTGACGCATCTGAGTATGGACGAGTGTTCTCTATTCTGTCCAGACTATCTCTCCAACTCATAAATGAAATACGTAGTTGAGTGGAGAGAGAGTCTCTACACTCAGAGAACCAGGGTTACAATGTAACCAAGCATTCCCTTGTTTTGGTTTTATAGGAGCCCTTTGATTGTACAGAACAAATTGCCCTTACAGCAGTATTTAGAGTAAGAAAAAAAGAAAGATTGCCTATCCATCACTTGGTATGTTGTTTTTTGTTTAAATTAATCTGAAGGCTTTATAGTTGGCAGTGGGAGACAAACACCCGTTAGTGGTGCAGAAACGCTTTACTACGATTTCCCCCCCAGTTGTGCTCTTTGTCTTGACAAAAACAACTCCAACAGATAAAAGGCAACAGCAGTCATTTCATTACAATAGCAAATATACTGACATAGTATATTGTCAGGCAATCCAGTAAATAGTCGCCCATTATGTAGAGACCTGTATGGTCTTATTCATTCCATTGCAAAAACAACAAAGAGTTTTGCAGCAGTGGAGGAAATAAATGGTTTACTTGATGTGTCATCTGTGGCACAAAGAAACTCTGGTGGTCTTTGCTTTTATTTTTGTTTCACCTTCAAGAACTGCCAAAGATAACTTCATCCTGTCAGCGAGTAATTATTTTTAAAACATGAGTAGTCTGGGTCTCATGCACTAGTTTTACATATGAGACTCATGAGTCTATTGAGCCACATCACACAGAAACCTCAGAGATTATCTACTGTTGCTGATCTCAGAGTGATTCAGGGGGAATAGTGATTCATAGTAGTCCATCATTGCATATCTGAGTAAAGGGCTTAACAAAGAAAACTCAGTCTTCAAAGTTAAGGATCATCAAGGGCAGTGAGTGACACACAGCAGCGAGTGACACACAGCATCCTAATATTCCTTTATTTTTAGGGTGTGTAGCTTGATCAAACTCCTTGAATGTAGCACTGCTGTTAGTTTAAAGGGAGGACTTAAGAGAATGTGTCCGCGATTACATGAAGAAGGAGGATATGCCTGAGGACAAAGACATGTTATTTTTCTTACTGATATGTGATTTCCTTTTCAAGTCAAAAACAGAGACATAGCCAAGCGTAGCCCTGAAATCCTGAACTGTGAACCCAGAGAAGTTTAAGTGATCAAGACTACTAAGAAAAAAACTGTTTCTGTCAAGTTTTTTGTTTTAGTTTTTTTTACTCTAAATCGAGTCACGAAGGTAATAATGTAATGCGAACAACCAGTGTTTGCTAACATGACCAATAAAAGGTTTAAAATCACACATTATTTATATACATGGATCTGGCAACGAAATACAGGGAAGCTTGGAATGACTGGACAACCATACGCTGACCTGGCGCTGGTGGGGTTTTGTTTTTTTTCCAGACATCTAAACTGGAACGTAAGTTAGTTGAATGCTTTGGATATTTTTCTAAAATTGTTTTACAAAATCAGCTTCTTTGGGAAAAACAAAATCATGCACTGCGATCTAAAAATGATTGAAACGGTGGAACACTTTTTGTTTTTTGGCTCTTTATATATCGAGTAAACAGTTTAGATTTATTTTAGAACAATGCAGCTGGGCCGACCCATTATCGCCTTGAACTGAAGCTGATTCCTAAAATCTGTGTTAGAAAACCTGCATTTGAGTTTTTCCTGCTGTAAGAAACCAGTGTAACAATAAAGAAAAACTCAATTTAGAGGTTTGAATTCTCACTAGATGGCAGACTGGTTGGCAGACAGATTTTATTCCCTCTGGTTTGCTAAATTTTCCAGAAACCCAACCATTTCTTCATCATTTCTTAAGAGAAAACAAGGCACTTTGCTCTCTTATCCATCTGTGGTTTACACATTTTCATTATTGCATGATGCACTTGAATAGAGGTGTCCCCTCACCGTAGAGCAGTAGTAAAAATTCAATTGAAAAAAATCCTAAATATATCCCAGTGTGAGCTGCTGTTATAGTGAGGTGATGCATATCATCTCATCTGTTAGGTCCTCCTCACATTTCACAGCCACATATGGCTCCTCATCGCTGTAGTCACGGATGCTGTGGTCCCTAATATTTGCACTGGCATGCGAATCCGAGCCAACGCTCTCTTTCCTCCCTGTGTTGCCATTACCCATGGTCCCATTCAGCAGGTTACTGGCGGCACTCTCCATTTCATCAATGGTCATCTCGCAGGCGTCTGCAATCTCATGTTTAGTTGCTGACACAAATTTAGGGTCCCTGGCGTATTTCCCCAAACCTTCAGAAATCAGCACCTGTGGAGAGCAGTCAGGAGATAATTAAAGCTGAAACCATGAAGTGGAAAAAGTGATCTTCAGCAAGATCAAGAACCACACATTCTGGGTCTTACAGATAGTATTCATTTAGCTGCCAATAGATTACCTCTGCAACATCCTGTTGACTTGTAAAATGAATGCTTCACTGACAGAAGCATTGCTCATCACGCTTCCCAACTTGAGTTAGCTGCCTGGACATGCAGCCATACTTGTTTTTAATAAATGTTGTGTTTACGCCATGGTGCAGCGTCACTGACAGCTGTTGTTTTGTAGAGAGTGCTGTACCATGAGTGACTTCTGTTGTGCTGTTGTTGAACCTTGAGGCATATTGTAGCACTGCAAGTGTTTTATTAAGGAGCTCACCCTACCAGCTTGGGGTTCAATAACAAGCTCAATCTCTCTCTGTGAGCTTTTTTGTTAAGATTTCTCTGCATGCCACAATGTAAAACACTGCACGGACACGCTGTGCTAATTATATATTTTGAAAAAGAAATGTGGAGGTAGGAATTGCAATTAATATAAATAACATGATGCTAAGCATCGGCCAATGAATGTGAACTAACAACAAGGTCACGGGTATGGCTGCGACCGTAGGAAAAAACCCTAATATGAAGGTATTTTACTGTGCATTTTACAGTAATGTTCTGTTCTTCTAGAATATCATTAAAGTTACGTAAATAGACTTTGACTTCACATTCTGAATGTAAATTAACGTTAAATCACTGTAATGTAATACAACATAATTGTCATGATTATTAAATGTATCTGTCTGTACATATGCATATTTAGATTGTTAAAATACATTCACAAATGTATCATGATTTCACAAATATCTGTCCGTTATTTGAAAGATTGAACTGTTGAATTCAAATGTAATGCTATGGAAAAGTATATAACATGATCCCCATAAGCTTGTGTTACATCACATAAGTATTATTATCGTTGCTATTTAGGCCGTTTGTGGCTCAAGAGTTGGCAGTTCGCCTTGTGATCAAAAGATTGCCGGTTCGCGCCCCGGCTCGGACACTCTCTGTCGTTGTGTCCGTGGTCAAGACTCTTCACCTACTGCCTACTAGTGATGGCCAAAGGGGCCGATGGTACGATATGGCAGCCTCGCCTCTGTCAGTCTGTCCCAGGGCATGCAATCAATTATTACTTAAACCAACTGTTAACTGTATATTTCTGTACATTTACGTATTATGATTCATATTTCCACATTCAGTGACCTTGTTTATAGGTAATTTCATTGTTTGATCGCGTAAAAATGTTCCTAATTTAATGTCTAAAAGCACTTGAAAAAGGCGAGATCCCATGTCAAATTAGCGCAACTAATTGTATTTTCATTACTGAAAATAACCGTATTTTTATGGGACAGTTATTTTCTGTTATTTCACGGTCGTATTTTGGCGCCCCAGCTGCCGGAATATTACCGTTGTTTTAGGATGTTTTTTTTAACAGTGTACTACAGAGAACAAAATTCAAAGACACCCTGAAATTCAAAGTGAAAAACTGGTCCAATTTTATTGTAGTCACTTAAAATGGCCCCCATCTGCCCCCATCTGCTTGTATGCATGCCTGAAAACATCCTATTGAGACGTGAATGGTGTCCTTTGGAATCTCCACCCAGATCTGATCCGGACATCACTGAGCTCCTGGAGAGTCTGAGATTCACGCTAGCTGAATCGGACGGACCAAAACATGATGTCCCAAGTGTTATATTTGAATTAACTCAGGCGAGTGTAGAGTGCAGGAGCTGCAAACATACTCTCACCTCATGAAGCCGGATATTGTTTTGCGCCAGGAGAAGCCCAGTACCCACTGCACCAGTGTAGGGTCTGATAGTGGGTCCAAGGATGTTACAGAACGATGTTACAGGCAGCATATTATTCTCCACGGCTTCTCCAGACCCTTTCACATCCATCACATGTGCTCAGAGTTACCTCCTCTCATCCGTGAAAAGCACACGGTGCCACTGGTGGACCTGCCAATTCTGGTATTCTATGGCAAATGCCAAGCAGTGAGCACAGGGCTCACGAGAAGACATTGTGCTTTCAGGCAAAAGTAAAAAGATGACGAGGGAAAAATGTCAGTGGTCTTCACCTATAAAACACCAAAGCAGCTGAAACTGATGAAAAACCCCTTATACTATTTAACTGACCAGATCAATATCCTGTATGTTGACTTGGCTTGATGCTACACTTTGATTAAAAAGTTTTACTTTCAACTTTTTCGAGCAGTGTATAAATGAAATATCACCAGATCTCTTATCCTACTTTGTGAGGGTCTATGGATTTAAAAAATGCACGGTAACAACAACAGAGCATTTGTTATGTACTCACAGCTTCCACCAGACTGTTGGCACTGCCTCTCTTTTGCAGGCAGTGCGAGCAGCACTCTGCGGGTAAATGCAGACGTGACGGAGAATGGCTTTGGCTGGGAGGGCCATCCTGACTATCTGTGTACCATGAACTCCTCTTCACTGCTCCAGGGATGCTGGCCACACTGCCAGGACTGCGCCAATCCACCTATACACACAGACATATTCTCATATATATATATATATACTGTGTGTGTGTGTGTGTGTGTG